CAATCTATCCCACCCACACACACACAAACACAAACTCACTACCAGCTATAAAATTATTAAAAAAGTAATGGATATTGAAATAAATTGCATAAAATTTTCTCCATACATACATGTGTTCATTCATCAGCACTGTAAACCTTTACGTATTTTACATTCCTTATAAACAGAACATATCATATGTAGTTACCATTAATTTAGACAAAGAAGAAGGGATCATGCAAATAGGATTTAATACTTCTACTACACATTAAAAAATTGCTAGAAATGATGCAATAAGCATGAGTGGTGCTTATTACACCTAGAACAATCATTACGTGTGATTGAGTAGTCATCAGTCAAAAATAGAATATAACAGTCATTTCCAAACAAAGAAGGTAAGAATCTATTTTATTAATCCTTATGTCCTTCCCCATTTGTGCAAGAAATACAATGACATTTCCGTATCCATTTAGAAGTATGGGAAAAAGGTGACTTTCAAAGTAAAACCCCTTTTATGCCAGACTACAAGTGCTGAAAACAAGGGAAAAGCACTTACCTTCACCATTTAGAAGTACAAGTCCAATCACCATTAAAACCGGATGGACCTAGAAAAGATAATAAAATAAGTCAAGCAACCTTAGACTAAAGGGCAAAGAGAGAATGAAGATAGCTCACACAACAGCAAAACATTTTATTGCTGAATCAAGTCCTCCCCACCTTCCCTCAAGAACAAAAAAGAACAGGAAATTGATAATCTTACCAAACCACAGCTATAGTTCTCTAATCTAAGGAAGCACATAATTTATCTCTGTGTATGAAGATGACCAGAACACTAAAGAAAGAAAGTGGAAATTCAAGTTCAGTATTCTTTCTTAACAATATATTGCACCACCATCCTATTGGGATAAAAGCAAATAACTTCTTACTTTCGGTAAAATAAAAGGTAGTATATTTGCCTTCTCACCCTATTCCTTATCCTTCGTAGAGATTTAAAGAAAGAATATTAATTCTTCTTTCCATTTTGCTCTTCTTAAAAAATTCAGAATTGTTGGCAAGGAAGCACCACAAAAACAGAATGGACAATGAAGTTACTTTTAAACCAAATTCTCGATTTGTTCCTTTGGGAAAGGCGACATTTGCTATAAAAAAAAGCACTACAATTCTAGTTTTCACCAAAAGATAAACCAAGTGATTTTCTTGTTAGCTTTGCTAATCAATCTATAAAAAAAAAAAGCTATTTTTCCAATGAAAAACAATAATGAAGTGCATGCTGAGTTACTTCTGGAAAAGAATGAACGCCTGAAGTTTATGGCAATTCTCTTTAATTCAACATAACCGTAGTCCTGTACTCCAAAAAAGCATCTTTTTCAGATGAAATATACTAGCTTTTAGCACAAAATTCATACAGAAGAAAACTATTTCCGCAACCAAAATAGTATCAGCTGACACCTCAGGTAGAAAAATGGTAACTGAAGCAACAGATCAGTAAAAGAAAAGATCCCCATATACAAGTAATGTTACACGCACAAAATTCTGCACAAAATATGACCTACGAACTAACCTGGCACTACAACTGAAAAGCACAAGTCAGGTAAATTTTTTCTATCTGCATTTGCTATCACGAATATCGTTACAAGATCATTGTAGTTTTAGCATTTCTTTTACTATATTTACACAAATACATACACATTTATATTGCACAACCAACTATTCGACACAATTGTAGAACACAGACGATCAGTGTAATCCCATGACCACGTCCTAGGGACATACTACCGCTAAAAATTATTTTTTGCTAATTAAAATTAATATGCGTTCATTTCATTATGTCATTTTTTATACCAAAACGAATAGAAATTTAAAAGAACCAAGC